TTACAGTACAGTGAACACATTCATTATTTTTAATAACTGTTTTCACTAATAAGTGAAATAGTCTGCTCACAGAAAATGCTATCATTATATGTAATGATAAAAAAACACTTTCAAAAGGCTGTCTAAGGCCCAGAAAAAAATATTTTGGTAAATTATCTAAATTCAACACATGCAAGCATTTCTTAAGTCTTTTCCTAATATAGTCATTAATTTCGTGTTTACACTAATTTTTATTTTATTTTTTTCTAAAATTCTGGCAAAAGATGCTGTGACACGTTTTTAACTAATGTGTATTGACCGGAAACTGGAATAAATTTTTTCCGGCTCTAATATTGTTGCCTGTGAGGGTTTGTTGGCATTTTTTGTCATGTACATTAAATGTCAGTAGAGAAATTCATATATTTCAAGGTATTTCTAGAAGCCTTAAAATGAGTATCAATTCAAACCCAGACATCATTGCTATTGACGGTGTCATAAACGGGTCAAAAACCTACTTTTAACTAAAACTGAATAAAAAATATTCATGTTTCTGATCATTATACACGTCAGTCATACATCTGCATGTCACAGCTTGCTTTTTTTGGTTTTTGGTTTTAAAAAAAAAAGAAAAGTCACAATAAATGTACAATTTTTTAAGAGAAATATAAAAAAAACACCTTGCATACCAGTTTTGAGAAAAAAATGACCATAAATGTTTTTCTTTTCTTGGCGTAGTGTTCGCTGTTGCTTGGTGAATCATCAAAAACTTGTTTTCATTATAATTTGTGTGTTTTGTTGTGATTTGTTTATGTCGCTAGCTAGGTTGACACCCATAAAGGAAAAAATAACTCCCCACCTAAATGACTAAAGGTAGTATGACTCATCATTAGTAAATGGAGCAGCGTTAACAATACATCTAGATTTTCGTTAAAATCCCTTGAGAATGTGTGATTGGAATGCATTACTTTGTGAAATCTTTAAAAATTTGCATCGCATTTAAATTGTGCTGCCACATCTTCCTTTGTTTAATCTATTATGCATCTGTAGTCACATTTGTTAAAATAAAAGCTTCAATATTTTCATATTTTTTTTCAAACTTTTGATCAATACTTGTAGTCAATGGAAAACTGTCTATTCAGTCCAATAACTTATTTAAAAAAATGACAAATTCATAAAAATAGGCCACAATGTTGTACCAAATTTTGACAGAAACAAAATAGGCCAAAAAAAAAAAACTTGTGTTGCCCTCAAGTCGAAAAATTTGAAAATTGGGTCGGTCGGATTTTTTTTTTTTTTTTTTTTTTTAAATTCGTGAAAACTAAGAGTATCGTAAATAGCCAATGTATATGAACTTCATAGTATTCGGAACATGTCAGAGAAATACAGATCAACCCGAGGTTCAAAGTCGCCACTACTGGGAAACACTTTTTTACTGCTTAAATTGGTGAGTTTTTAATATTTGAGGCTATTAAAAAAAAAAAAAAAAAAACGTGACCCGATATTACATATTTTTTGGTAAGTTGCTGAAGGCAACAAAACAATTTTTTTTTTGGCCTTATGTACAGGAAAAAATGTAAATAACTGTAAAAGATGATCAGAAAAATTACTTATTTAGCTCTGATTATTTTGTGTTACTGTTAAATACTTTGATCTTTGCTGGAAAGACTTTTTGGCTGTTTTGTATGGAGTTTATTTTCACTTACTTCTGATGAGTTGAATGTAAAATATAGGCAAAGGGTACTAGTATTTTACTTAGGCGAAAATATAATCCAAGTAAAAATTGAGTATTTTACAGTAAACTATACTTAGTTTGAGTATGATTTGAGTGTGAATCTGATATCCTTGTACTAGAAAGAAACCAATAAATCATCAGTTTAATGGATAATCTGTGTTTTATTTCTCATTAAGAATCAGAATCATAAAAAATGCAGAAAATTTACAACACATTTTTGATTTTTGCCGAGTGAAAATTTAATCAACTAAATAGAACTTGAGCAAAGATTGTTTCCATGGGAACTACAACTATTATTTTATCATAGCATTTTAATAACTCGTTTAAAATACATGGGGCTGACAAGGTTATGGTTAAAAGTAAACCCTACTGTGTAAATTTGTCAAAATACACACCATTATAACTAAGGGTGACCTTTACCTTCAATAGTTTCTTCACACTTTCTTATAGCTAGACATGTACACTCTCATAGCTTTTAATATCCACCAAATATAACATATCATTTAGGGGTGTGCCAATCCACTGCTCTGATTTCCACATGTTTTCACTCTAGAGTTAATTTTTATACCAGACTACTCCATTTTTATTGGCACTTCAACTAGTGGGACTAGGTTTTGAAACAACTCTTATACATAGTTCTATATACCGTACATCCATTTACAATTCAATGTTTTATTTCATGTTCAAAAATTCCATGCAGTGCAGTGAATTCAGTAGCACCCAACTTTGTCAATGTAGCATCATTTATTTCAATAAAAAGAGCGATGTCTGCACTTTTAGAAACCATGTCAAATAAATCGTAAAAAAACATGAAAATGTTTGCAGGACAAATTGTCTTGATCACCCCTGGTATTTGGAGTTCTGGTGACTCCCTACATTTTTGTTTATTCTCTTGTAATGTTTTCACAACTATCAAAGCTAACGTACCATGTCAAGCCATCCACCGATTTGAATATGGAATTGTAATCTTCTCAACAACTCTTGTCAGTATTTTCAAATGTTGACTCTGTGTACATGTTATTTATTGTTAGCATTACAAGAAAGCCACATGTCATGACTTCTTTATTTCCAGTCATTAAAAGTGATTCACTTGTTTGATGTTGCTAACTACAGGTTTACTGAACTAGAACTACATGGATGTCACAATGACCTACAAAGAATGAATCAATACATGGGAAGAATGTCCATTTAAGGGTGTGGTACATGGCCAAATGACTCTGTATTGAATGTGTAACTGTCCCCAATAGACTATTTTCTCTTCACTGCATTATTATCATGTGTGGAATCAAACATAAAAACTGGACAAAGGTCATAGCGACCTAGTGGTGTCAAAATATTACGAGGTTTTAAACACTCGTTATGAGTGCTCAGAATGACTGTCATGCAATATCAAAATGTTCGTCTTGAGTAAATGGGAAATTATCTATGGTATTGATTGTTTATTCACGATTGACATGTCTTTCTTTACTCTTCACACTTCTAGGTTTTCATGTATCAAAACGGCTTTCAGAATGGGCATCGGAGGACGCCATCGTCCTCGAGCCTTGGCAGTGAGTCGCTGGACCGACCAATGCGGGTGTGTGTTGCAACCTGCAATCGAGCAGATTACTCCAAGTTAGCACCAATCATGTTAGGGTTAAAAGAAGATAAAGACTTCCAGCTGCAGGTTATTGTGATGGGATGCCATCTTATTGATGATTATGGGTAAGTTAGTTATTCAGTCTGTCTATCATGACTTGTCCGTGTGATACAATCGTCGGTTAATGGTTGCAATCTCCAACATTATCTAGTGTAAAGTCTATCAATTTTTGTGATAATTTGACAGTTTTCATGGAGACAAAAGTTCAGGATAATCTTTGTGACCTGCTATCCAAACGTCGAAGTGAAACAGAATGCTACAGAGTTTCATGGTTTTCTGCAACTCTCAAAAGTTTTGAAAATTTTTGCCAGGAAAATTGAACATTTGTTATTAGTAATATGCAAATAGAAGCACTTGTAGATGTTGATGCACAGAACTACAAAACACATGAAATACTAGCAGGTAAACAGATACATATAAAGTTGGTTCATATGTACTTTATTGGTGATGCCTTCTAATACAATACTGGTATGTGCATTCTTTTATGGTGGTGGTGACTCAGTAAGAGGGCTGCTTGACAGCTTAAAATGTTGTATAGACCTTGACATTCTGTTTTATAGTCACACTACTTAGGAAGTAACATTAAACTACTGGAACATAACCCCCCCAAAAAACAGTAGATCATAAAGTACATGCTAGTACATGGTACTGCTAAATAAATGCTCCAACATGTTTACTCTAATTTTGATTTAATGGCTACCAGCTGTGAATAATAAAGTGTTAGATTTTTGTTGGATTCTTACAATTTAATTTTGGGTTCATCCTTGGTTTTGTAAATATGTCATTGTACGTCTAGGTCGTATCAAAAACAAAGTTTATTGTTTAGAAAAAAAGTCATCTCTGCATTCATTCCAAGATTGTAAGCACATCAGAATAGTTTCTGTTGTATATATTGCACACAGAAGTTATAAATAGACCGTGTCGAAAAAATATCCCAGTTATGTGATGATGATAAAATACGAATACGGAGCCAACAGATGAGGTTTCAACTGGTACTGGTATTATTATACTCTGCAAACATCAAGTACAATAACGCGGTAAAACTCCACTACTCCAATAACTAGATACTTAAACTCCGATACAATTCAAGGAGATCTCCGATCCGATCTCAGTGCTGAACAAAACTCCCCTATATATACCCGCACTGTCTATAAATAGACCATTACATCAGCATACATAATGAGTCTTGAACTTACTGCAAATTTCTAGAATGTTCCATTACCTTCCATTGCCTCCTACAGTGTTCTATTACCTATTCAACCAGTTTCTAAAAAATATAGAATATTCCACCCAGACACAGTACGGTTCTAGAACATTCTCAGTGACACGGAAGTGGTAAATAAGTCGTATGCGACAATGTGACACCAACATTCACAGAAAGCAAAATGTTTTAGTTGATCTTTTATGTGTTGTCTTTCTTATTACTACAAGCAAGGAAAGGCATATAATAAGGCTATAGTAATGCAGACACATGGAAATGAGAAAATTTCTGTTAGACATACTGGTAAAAGCTTTTTATTTCGAAACAATTAAAATGTATGCTCAGTTTTGGAGCTGTAAACACAGCAGTTACAACAATGTGTAATTGGTTTGAGTTGAAAGTTGGGGTAATTTTTTATGATTTTGCGATGACGTATTTGCCTGTACTATATAATGAAGAGTTTTATTAGAATCAGGAATTTGTTAACTTTGGTGATTTGTTTTTTTAGTAGGTTAAATTAGTTGACAAGTTGAAACCTGTTCACACGTCACGGTAGTTAACATTTAATTCCGTGTTCTCACCTTTCCATCCCTTATTGGAACGATTTCAGGAGGCATTGTTTTAACCGAGAGACTTTGTTCATGCATTTCTTATCTCGGGGGGTGGGGGTGGGGGGGTTAAACCCAGAACTATGTGTTCACATGTGTGTTCCAACAAGGGATTAAAATTCACTTTGAGTCAAACCCTGGATTTTGTTACCTGTATGAATACAAAATATGTGTGGTCACTCACTGTTAACAATTTGAAACAATTTGAAAATATATAATATCAAATGTATGGTCATTTTAATTTATGTAGTTTTAAATGTGTATAATTTTGTTGACTACCCCAATAAATACTGGCCTATCTGGGAAGGGGGTGTGGTATTGCATGCTCGGCTTTAAACACTTGCTGGTATTTCTCTTAGATTTAGAAAACTCTTGCATGACATGAATATTATTTGCAATATTACATACTAACGAGTTTACAAATTAATTAATAAACATTTTCTGAAAATTAATATCTATATAATAAGATCTATTCCTACCTGGCAAGGTTTGTATACTAATCTATATCTCGTTTGATAGCATAAACATTAGAATTAATTCTTTGAGTGACGTATTTTTCCCGCCCTAAATTCAGTCAAATATTTCCTGAAAATTGTCACAGAATTTCATCATAATTTTGGTCCATGCTGACAGTATAAGATATTGCTTTTACTTTTTGATCAAAAGGTTTGTCATTTTTTATTAACATTCCATGTGAGGAGGAGCAGACTGTACAACATTAATTTGTAGATGGTGCCAAAAGTTGACAATGGTGCTCAAATGGTTTAACACATTATTTTTGACTTGTGTATCATGAATAAATCATAAAGCAATGAAAACACTATGCTATCCATATTGTTAGTAAAAATATCTGTTTTCTCATTAACATACCAAGCTGATCTATTTTGGTGTTGTCATGGTAATATACATGTTGTAGGGTGTGTGGTATTTACCATTTAGTGGTATTTAATATTAATAATCTACATTTCAACCATTTCATAAGCTGTTTTTTTGCTTACCGGGTATTAAATATTGGTACAATTATATTTTGAAGCATTTATTCCTTTCTATTAATCTTTTAACAACATTTTCCATTTTTTTATTTTCTATACAGGGGTCGAAATACTCTGGTGCACACTGCACTATGCACATATATTATTAGCTAGTGCAAATAAACTCAAAATATAATGTGCACGCTGTGCATGTAGCAATGAACACAACATTTTCTCATTATATTCACTAAGCCTAAATTAAGTTCAACAATTATTGTAAGGTAACTAAAAAAAAAGCAAATTCTTTCGTGTTCACATTGATCGAGAACTAGTAAATTTTATTATAACTTTAAAAGTGGTGCATTTCACAACAATTTAGTGCAGGTAAATTTCAAATTCAACATGCACACTGTGCATGCAAGGAACAAAATAATATTTCAATCCCTGCTATAATGTGCAAATGTTGATCAACATTTTTGACCAAAAAAATATGGAAAATATTATGCAAATGAATGTTGACAAGAAAGTTGGCTTTGATATTCAGAGAGCTGAAATACATTTCCAGAATTGGGTTATATATTTGATTGAAGAACACTGAAATTGCACATTCATGTCGATACCTGTACATTCATATCCTTTCCACCATCAAAATGATACTTCTAACATTAATATATATTATAATAGTCTTAACCTAACTGTTTATAGTGCTTATGTTCAACTCTCCACTGTCCATCGATGAAATTTAAAGCATGTTTTTAAATTGCAGATTTTGTTGCCATACAAGTATCTTCTGATATATATATATATATATATATATATATATCAGTAATTTTAATGAAAAAAAAGTACATTTATCTTAGTAATAGTGACACCTGTTGTTTAGTGTGATGAACCCCCACGGTTGGGTACAGGAGCATAGAAGTTTT